CTCACTTGGAATAAGCAAAACACATTCTGTATTGATAATAAGGTTAAAACTAATGATGTCTGTGAACTGTGCTTCAAGGAAATGCGTGTGCTTTAATGTATTCCCTTGTGCTGTGAGCTCTGTCCGAGAGCCCATGGGCTGATGCAAACAAGGGAGGAGCTCCAATAATCCTCGGCCACGCTGCCAAGACCTTGCTTCTACTAGGCACTGAGCCATGTACCATCTTTTGATGATTACAGGATATCTGCTTCATTCCATCACTCATAAATTCCAGAGGCACAACTCCCTCTCACTGTGGAGGCAGTTTAGGGCCGCACTCTGCAGAGATGATGCACTTCATGCTAATTGGGACGACAGTGACCCCCTAGGTAGCCTCCCTGGCCGAAACTGAAGCACCCTCAGAAGCTGCTGCTGCCTCCAGCATGTGCCAGCCTTCCCAGGAAGCAGTCACCTACCACCATGTTCCTGTTCTATTCAGGAGAGCCAGGGCTTTCTTAAAAGCAAAGCAAATCCAACTACGTCTCTCTGTGATGGCCCACTGTCTTGCAGACCCACCCTGCCACATACGACCTCCCTTGGCCATTTCCCTCATATCTGAGTTGTTCTGTACTTCTTTCGCTTACTCATGTTCATGTTACAGCAACGTTTTTATCCCGCGTCTCACTGTCCCTTTCCTCCAGAACCCTTTATCATGTTCTGAGACACCTGGAGTGTCTTGTTGTTTGCCCAACACAGCTTCCTCTGTGTTTTACTGATTGGGCAAAGCACATGACCAGGACGGACCCCAGTACGTGACCCAGTTATCCCTGTTTCAGACGAGGTGGGGTTCGTTCAGGCTGGGATGGCCATAGACTATTATCACTGTTTCAAACAAGAACACAGGCTCAGTGAAATCCCTTGTTTAAGGTCTAACAACTATTACATTAACTTCTAACTTCCATCATGAAGACTGTGAATTTTGTGAAAGTCAGTAGGATTTTACTAAAGGGTGGTGGGTATTGTAGTTTGTGGCAGTTAACTGCGGAGGTTAAAGTATCATAAAGGAATATGTGAATGTCCTGTTAACAATGTAACTACAACATCTGATGCCTGTGCTAAGCCCTGAAACCACCTATCTAATGCACGTCACTGAGTAAGGTCAGTCAGCTTCTCATCACGGCACACCGTGCCTGAGATAAACAACTTAAGAGGTCAAGGCTCCACATTGGTGTCAGGTTTCAGCCAAAGGGGACCTTAGCTGCTCAACTGCTTAGTCCTGTGGTAATTTTCTCTGTAAATCGGGCTAAAGCAGCAGTCTGAATGCTGTGATGCTTTTAAATTTCCTCGGTTCACTTGCAAATCCTGCCCCGCAGTGTCTCTGGCTATGGACGACGGGTGAGTTCTTTGCCGGTACAGCCGGAATGGCCCGACTCCAGTTCCCAGGGGAGTTCATTTCCATCCGACACTCAGGATCACTCTCACCATTTGAAGTCCTGCTAGCGGTGTGTTCTGAGCTCACACCAGAGTTACCCAACCACCTTGCTTACTACAGTTTTAGATTTTTTTCTAGCCAGCTTCTCCAGACTTTTCCAAATTCCTTCCACAAACCAGTTCTAAAATCTCCCGACCCACATAGTCACTCAATAGTCACGGCAGTGATCCGACTGCTCGGCACCAACTTCCTGTCAGTTTTCCTTGCAATTACAAAATACCCGAGAAAACTAGTTTAAAGGAGGACACATTTATCTTGGTCCCCAGTCTCAAAGGTTTCAGTCCAGGGTGGCCCAGTGACGTCACTGTCTGCGGACCGGTGCTGAGGCAGACGGGAAGTGAGAAGCAGAGAGGAGAGGCTCGTCTCAGGACAGCCAGGACACAGGAAAGCAGGGCACGAGACCAGAAGCAAGCTATACCTTCCTGCAGAGGCACAGCCCAGTTCATACTTCCTCCAAGTGGATCACATAGTCTAATGAACTTCCCATAGCACTGGACCATCTGGGGACAACCCAGGAAGCCTTTTGAGGGATACTTCATATCCAAACCACAATAATATGTAACTAGTCTGTAGCTAGAGTTTTCCTGCCTTGCCCACAGTCAGGACAAATCTCTGTC